TAGACTATAGACTAGACTATAGACTAGACTATAGACTAGACTATAGACTTATTAGACTGGACTAGACTAGACGATAGACTAGACTATAGACTAGACTATAGACTAGACTATAGACTAGACTACTAGACTAGACTAGACTATAGACTAGACTATAGACTAGACTATAGTACTAGACTATAGACTAGACTATAGACTAGAGGTAATAGACGAGACTATAGTACTAAGACTATAGACTAGATTAGACTATAGAGTAGAACTAGAGACTAGACTAATAGACTAGTACTTAACGACTAGTCTATAGACTAAGTCTATAGAACTAGACTATAGACTATAACTAGACTATAGACTAGTGACTATAACTAGACTATAGACTAGACGATATACGAGACCTATAGACTAAGACTATAGACTAGACTATAGACCTAGACTATAGACTAGACTATAGACTAGACTATAGATTAGACTACAGACTAGACTATAGACTAGACTATAGACTAGACTATAAACTAGACTATACAATAGACTATACAATAGACTATACAATAGACTATACAATAGACTATAGACTAGACTATAGACTAAATTATAGACTAGACTATAACTAGAATATAGACTAGACTATAGACTAGACTATAGACTAGACTATAGATTAGACTATAGACTAGACTATAGACTAGACTATAGACTAGACTATAGATTAGACTATAGACTAGACTATAGACTAGACTATAGACTAGACTATAGACTAGACTATAGACTAGACTATAGACTAGACTATAGACTAGTCTATAGACTAGACTATAGACTAGACTATAGACTAGACTATAGACTAGACTATAGACTAGACTATAGACTAGACTATAGACTAGACTATAGACTAGACTATAGACTAGACTATAGACTAGACTGTAGACTAGACTAGACTAGACTATAGACTAGACTATAGACTAGACTATAGACTAGACTATAGACTAGACTATAGACTAGACTATAGACTAGACTATAGACTAGACTATAGACTAGACTATAGACTAGACTATAGACTAGACTATAGACTAGACTATAGACTAGACTATAGACTAGAAAAACTATAAACTAGAATATAGACTAGAATATAGACTATACTATAGACTAGATCATAGACTAGATTATAGACTAGACTATAGATTAGACTAAACTATAGACTATAGACTAGACAATAGATTAGACTATAGACTAGATTATAGACTATACTATAGACTAGACTATAGACCGTAGAATAGACTTAGAATAGACCATAGACCAGACTATAGACTAAACTATAGAAGAGACTATAGACTAGATTATAGACTAGACTAAAGACGAGACTATAGAATAGACCATAGACTAGACTATAGACTAGACTATAGACGAGACTATAGACTAGACTATAGACTAGATTATAGACTAGACTATTGACTAGATTATAGACTAGACTATAGACTAGACTGTAGACTAGACTATAGACTAGACTATAGACTAGACTAGACTAGACTAGACTAGACTATAGACTAGACTATAGACTAGACTATAGACTAGACTATAGACTAGACTATAGACTAGACTATAGACTAGACTATAGACTAGACTATAGACTAACTATAACTAGACTATAAACTAGACTATAGACTAGACTATAGACTAGACTATAGACTAGACTATAGACTAGACTATAGACTAGACTATAGACTAGACTATAGACTAGACTATAGACTAGACTATAGACTAGACTATAGACTAGACTATAGACTAGACTATAGACTAGACTATAGACTAGACTATAGACTAGACTATAGACTAGACTATAGACTAGACTATAGACTAGACTATAGACTAGACTATAGACTAGACTATAGACTAGACTATAGACTAGACTATAAACTAGACTATAGACTAGACTATAGACTAGACTATAGACTAGACTATAGACTAGACTATAGACTAGACTATAGACTAGACTATAGACTAGACTATAGACTAGACTATAGACTAGACTATAGACTAGACTATAGACTAGACTATAGACTAGACTATACTATAGACTAGACTATAGACTAGACTATAGACTAGACTATAGACTAGACTATAGACTAGACTATAGACTAGACTATAGACTAGACTTTAGACTAGACTTTAGACTAGACTATAGACTAGACTATATACTAGACTATAGACTAGAATATAGACTAGACAATAGACTAGACTATAGACTAGACTATAGACTAGACTATAGACTAGACTATAGACTAGACTATAGACTAGACTATAGACTAGACTATAGACTAGACTATAGACTAGACTATACTATACCATAGACTAGACTATACTATAGACTAGAATATATTATACTATAAACTATAGACTATACTATAGACTAGTCTGTAGACTAGAGTATAGACCAGACTATAGACTAGATCATAGACTAGATTATAGACTAGACTATAGATTAGACTAAACTATAGACTAGACTATAGACTATTCTATAGACTAGACAATAGATTAGACTATAGACTAGACTATACTATAGACTAGACTATAGACTAGACCATAGACTAGACTATAGACCATAGACTAGACTTAGACTAGACTATAGAACAGACTATAGACTAAACTATAGAAGAGACTATAGACTAGATAATAGTCTAGACTAAAGACTAGACTATAGACTAGACTATAGACTAGACTATAGACTAGACTGTAGACTAGACTATAGATTAGACTATACACCAGACGATAGACTAGTCTATAGACTAGACTATAGACTAGACTATAGACTAGACTATAGACTAGACTATAGACTAGACTATAGACTAGACTATAGACTAGACTATAGACTAGACTATAGACTAGACTATAGACTAGACTATAGACTAGACTATAGACTAGACTAAAGACCAGACTATAGATTAGATTACAAACTAGACTATTGACACAAATATAGATTAAACTAAAGATTATTCTATAGACTGCACTATAGAATACACTAGACTATAGTCTAGACTATTGAGTCAACTATAGACTACATACTCAACTATAGACTTAACTAGAGACTAAACTATAGACTAGATTATAGACTTGACTATAGACTAGACTATAGACTAGAATATAGACTAGACCACAAACTAGAATATAGATTAGAAAATTAGCTTGACTATATATTAGACTATAACCTAGACTATAGAATAGACTGTAAACTAAACTCTAGACTGAAATATAGACTAAACTAAAGACTACACTATAGACTAGTGTATACTTTAGACATGACTATAGACTAGACTATAGGCTAAATTATAGAATGAACTATAGATTAAACTATAGACCATAATATAGACTAAAAATTAGATTGAACTAGACTAAACTTTAGACTAAACTATAGACTAGACTATAAACTAGACAATAGACTAGACGTTAAACTAAACTATAGACGAGAATATGGATTTATTTTATTCTCCAAAACTATTTAAAATTCCTTTAAATTCGGCGTTTCATTAATTTTGTTTAAAATTAGTTTTAAAATAAACCAATTACTATGCTACTTTTTTTAATAAAAACTATGAAATGTTCTTTATTTACATTATTTTTCACAAAAAAATTCTAAAAACAAACAAATAATTATTAAAAATGCTTTTAAAATAACAATTCAAACCCTTTTCAACATTATCATTCCTTCAAATTCAAATTTAACGGCTCCACCTTTATTACAAATATAAAATTTCAACTGGCAACTCACCTTTTCATATGCTGTCATGCCAACCATATGGCATCTTTAATTTTCTATTTGTTTTGTTTTTTCTTTCCTCTTGTTTAGTTGTTAATTTTTTTGGCGCTCATTGCTTGCAAAAATTTTCACACAAACACAAACCTACATACTTAACCACTTTTAGCCCTTTTTTCTAATTTTTAGGACTTTTGATTAAATTTGCAATAAATTATTGCTTTAATTAAATGATTAATGATATTTTTATAACATTTTCAACAACTTCAATGACTTTTTATTACTTTTAAATACTTTATATCAACAACATAACACACACATAGCCTGCAGTGTAGGCCACAACTTGTTGCTCTTTTTTTTCCTTTTATTAACATATTTTCACGAATTCCTGATAGCTAAACATATTAATTGAAAGCTTAAGAACATTTAAATTAATTTTTTTATGATTTAAATAAAATATTTTATGATTTAATTGCAGCTATATGACACTTTGTAACAACTGACCGGTTGAAAACACGACGGAAACTGATTGGAATTGCAGCAATGAAGTTGCCACACAAACAAAATATGTTGACAGCAGGGTATTGCTGAGAGATTGGAGGAAAAGAAGTAAATTTGAAATTTTTTAATGGGATTGTAAAGGAATGTTGTAGATTTTAAATAATCGACTTGTTTAAGGGCTATATTAGAAACTAGACTATAAACTAGTCTATAGATTAAACTAAAGACTAGACTATAGGCAAAAATAAAGTTTATAAAATAGACTAGTCTATGGGCTATATTATGAACTAGACTATAGACTAGACTATAGACTAGACTATAGACTAGGCTATATTCTTGGCTATAGACTAGACTATAGACTAGACTATAGACTAGGCTATATTCTTGGCTATAGACTAGACTATAGACTAGACTATAGCCTAAACTATAGACTAGCTATTGCCAAGTCTATAAATTAGGCTATAGAGTAATCTATAAACTATACTATATACTAGACTGTAGAGTAGACTATAGTGTAGGCTATAGTCTAGACTGTAAGCTATACAATAGACTATTTACTTGACTATATATACATATAGACTAGTCTTATTTAGTTTTATTGCATTTTGTCTTATTAAAATTTACTATTGGCTTTCAAACTAACAGTTTAGTGGTTTTCAATGCTTTTCAAACCGTTTGCTTTCGTATTTAACATGTCTGTTTTTTTATAAAAAATATGGCCACTCTCTCTTTCTTAGTATCTTTGACATTTCATCATAATATTTGTTGCTTTTTCTTGTGTTTCGGCACCACACATCATAACATTTGTTTACCTTTTTTTATCTCTAAAATCATTTACATATACAAGATATTTCTTTTACTTATTTTAATAGTTTAAATAACCTTTAACTAAAATTTAATTAGTTAAATAACTATTTCCTCGGTATATGTAAGAAAAAAAAAACAACAACAGTTAAACACAAACATGTCAGAAGTACGTATACGGCCCAGACAAGTTCTGGTTTTGATAATAGTATTCCTGGTGGTGCTATTAATGGTACATCGCAATGGCAAACGTACTTGCCAGGGACCCAGTTATCTGCAGGCCATGTATGGTAAAATGCAAGATGAAGAACTGCCTACAATTTACTGTATAACACCCACTTATGCCAGACCGCAGCAAAAGGCTGAACTAACCCGGTGAGTTGGCATAGCAGAGAAATATGATGATAAATTTGATTAAAACCTAGAGGCGTTTCTTTTTTGATGACTAATTATTTATTTTTGTTGCCGATTTTTATAGATTATCACATATATTCATGCTAGTACCCAATTTGCACTGGGTTTTGGTAGAAGACTCAGAAACCACCACAGAATTAGTAAGAAATCTTTTAGAAAGAGCCGGTTTGACACAAAGAGCCACCCAACTGAATACTAAAACTCCGGCTGCCTTTAAACTTAAACACAATGATCCCAACTGGATTAAACCTAGAGGCGTAGAGCAAAGAAATTTAGCTTTATCTTGGGTACGCACTAATGCTAATCCCGACAAACACAGCATTGTGTTCTTTATGGATGATGATAATTCCTATAGTGTAGAACTGTTTGCCGAAATGTCTAAACTGGAAAAGGGTAAAGTGGGTGTTTGGCCAGTAGGTTTAGTGGGTGGTCTAATGGTGGAGAAACCTTTACTTAATAGCGAAACTAAGGAAGTGATAGGCTTTAATGCCGCCTGGCGTCCCGAAAGACCTTTTCCCATAGATATGGCCGGCTTTGCCATAAGCACTGATTTATTCTTTAAATATCCTCAGGCCACCTTTAGCTATGAGGTACAACGTGGCTATCAGGAAAGTGAGATATTAAGACACTTGACCACACGCTCAGAGCTGCAGCCTTTGGCTAATTACTGCCAAGAGGTTTTAGTATGGCATACCAGAACGGAAAAGACTAAATTGACAAATGAGGAAGCACTCAATAAACAGGGTAAACGTTCCGATGAGGGCATGGAAGTGTAGAGCGACAAATAAAAACTTTTTCTTTAATAAAACTCTACCATATTTTTCATTATTACTTTATAATTTTATTTATTTATTTTAAATACTTTCATACTGTTTAGTTTTTAATGTGATAATGTTTAAAATTTAAGAAATCTTCCAAGCTTTCTTCTCATTTTTTATGACATTATAAATTTCCTTTCTTAATTTCCTAAAAAAAATCGTTTTTGTACTTAAAATGTTCAATTGTTAATGCCGGCTTCAAAAAAAAAACTGCTTTGAAGCCGGAACTTAGATCAAAATAAAATTTTAAATGAATCCAAAGCTTTTTCAATAAATTTTAATTAATTCATATTTTCAATAATTCATTTCTTGGCACAATCGATATTACTAAACATGAATTACATGCCCCCAACTTTCCAAATACATAAATATCAACTAATGCATGCTTGAATATGCTGTAAAAATGTTTGCCTCAAAAACTTTGTATAGTCTTCCATAAAATATAAAGACAATTTTAAAAAAAAAAATACAACAACAAAAAAGTGTTTTATTTTATGTATTCCAAACTATAGTCGAGACTGAAGACTAGATTAATTTCCAAACTATACTCCAGACTTATAATCCGGAATATAAACTAGACAAGAGCCTCGACTATAAACTATGTTATAGACTAGACTATAAGCCAGACTATTGACTTGACTGTAGACCAGATTATAGACCGGACTATAAACTAGACTATAGACCAGATTATAAACTAGCCTATGGTCCAGATTATTGACTAGACTATGATCCATATTATTGACTAGAATATTGCCCAGATCATAGACTAAACTATAGTGCAGACTATGGACTAAACTATAGTCCAGACTATGAACTAGACTATGGCCTAGACTATTGACTAAACTATGATCCAGATTATTGACTAGACTATAATCCAGACTAAAGACTAAAGTAAAATCCAGACTATACATTAGACTTTAGTTCAGACTAGAGTATAGTACAGACTAGAAAATAATCCAGACTATAGACTATACTACAGTTCAGATTATAGACTAGTCTATGGTCCAGATTATCGACTAGTTTATAGTCCAGAATATATATTATTATAATCTTAACTATAGACAAGAATAAAGTCAAGACTGTAGTCCAGAGTATAGACTAGATTATAGTCATGACTATAGACTAGACTAAAGTCAAGACAATAGATCAGACTATATATAACCCAAACTATAGATTAGACTACAATCCATACTAGCCTATAGTCCAGACTATTGATTAGACTTTAGACAAGACTAAAGATTAGACTTTAGTCTAGACCCTATCGACAATCCAGATTATAGCATATGGTCCAGATTATTGACTCATCTATAGACCAGATTATATTAACTAGAGTAAAGTCAAGACCATAGGCTAGATTATTGTCCAGAATATAGACTGGATTATAGTCTATAATACGGACAAAAGTAAAGACTAAAGACTAGACTGTAGACCAGGCTATAAGCTAGACTAAAGTGCAGACTATAGATTAGACTATAGTATAGACTAGAATATATACTACTTTGTAGTCTATAAACTATATTAGAAACTGAATTATAGTCCAAACTTTAATAAGATCTTGACTATATTATATAAATTCTAGTCTATAGTCTTACATGTAATCTAGTTTATAAATAAGACTATATAATCTAGATGACTGTAACATTTTAATCTTATTTATAATAGTATTTAGAGAACAATACCAAATACTTTCACTTTTCAAAACAATTTAACAAAAATATAAATTTCTTCGCAACTACTGAATAAGCTTTGACATCAAATATTCTTCCGGCAAATGTGTGTTGAAAACTTGTTACAGTTTGACAATAAATAAAATTATTATAAATTAAAATCGTTCATTAACCATGTAGTTGAGATTAAAAAACACATAAAAATTGTAAACAAACAGGTGGAAATGAATCACAACAACAACAACAATAATACATATGTTCTAAAAAAATTAGTACTAAAAGTTTTTTTTAAAACAGATTTAAATTAAGATTTAAAATAAAATACAAAAAATTTAAAAGTGCAACCAGTTAAACTTGAGTTCAATGCTTTTAGACGGTAAGAAAACAAAAGCTAAAAAAGCAACAAAAACAAAAGCAAGTATTGTTTTTGAGATTGTTTGTTACAAAAAAAAAAGTTTATAAAAACTTAATAATACATTAAGTGCAGGCTTTCAGTTGCCACTAGTACGAAAAGTACTTTCAAACATTAAACAACACGTTTGGTTTTTGGAATTAAAGGAAACGGTTACAGAGCGTTTAAAAAAAAAAAACTTTGAAAAAATAAATAAAGCGTTAAATTTTTAATTAAAGTGTTGAAAAACAAAAAACAATCACTTAAGAAGGTCAATATATTAAAAAAAAAATTTTGTAACTAATAATTATGGAACGCTGGCGTGGTAAAGTAGCAGTGGTAACGGGTGCCAGTTCGGGCATTGGTTGGGCTATTACCCAACATCTTTTGAAGGCCGATATGGTGGTTATAGGTTTGGCACGCAAACTCAAACACATGGAAGAATTAAAATCCGAATTGCCAGCCGGGCAACAGGAAAGATTCTTCCCGCGAGAATGTGATTTAACCTCATTGCCCTCCCTGCGTACCGCTTTTCATTGGCTGGAGCAAAGATTTGCCCAGCGTATGCATGTTTTAATCAATAATGCTGGCATGTGCGAATTCTCCCGTCTACTCGATGCCGGCAATGATGAGGCCCTCAAACGTATGATCGATGTTAATCTAATGGGTTCTATCTATTGTACCAAAGAAGCCTATAGGCTAATGAAAAAGGCCATGGCCTTTGGTGAGGAGTGTCATGTGATAAATGTTAATAGCCTACTGGGTCATATGGTGCCCGAGCATATACCCCATTGTGGTTTCAATCTATATCCGGTTGCTAAGCATGCCTTGAGGGCCACCAATGAAGTGTTGCGCCGTGAAATGTTTGCAGACAAACTATTGCGCTTATCGGTAAGTACAGATACTTTGTTTTATAAACAATTAAACTTGTTATTAATTTATTCCACTAATATTTATGTAATTTAAGTCTTTGTTAATTTAACTTTAATATTACATCAGTTTTTGTCCATTAAAAATAACAAAACATAAAGAAATCAAAACAATTAGAAATCGTGAAATAATTAAGAATTCATTAGAAAGGGTTTTAATTGCTCTGCCCATAAAAAAATAATTTTTTTTATTTATAATTAATTATAAATTACGTTCCAGTCATTTTTTTTAAATTCCTAAATAAAACTAACAAAATCCCCTAACTGGGCATGTTTTAAAATGGGAATTTAAAAAAAGCGAATAATTTATCACAAATACTCCAGAAATCCATTTCTGTAAGAAAATATTACTATTTCGCCTTTTTCAGTTAAATTCCTAAAAGGGATTTTAAAATCCCAAAATTAGGAATTCAAAGAAATAGCTAAATTTTACCCTAAAGCACTTTAGTAATCATAAAATAATCTTAATCTGTAAATTATTACACTTTATCAGTTTCCCCAGAAATTCCTAAATTGGGCATTTTATATAAAGAATATGAGAATTCAAAAATAAACTCAAAAAATGTCTCAAAATATAGACAAAAACATAATTCTGCTGAATAATATCAATATTTTCCCTTTTTTTAGTTAAATTCCCAAAACGGATTTTTAAAATCCCCCAATAAGGAATTCAAAAAATGTGAAAAAATTACAAAATTTTCACTAAAATGTTGTTAACAACGGTAAGTAATTTATACTTACCAAACATTTCTTTAAATTCCTAAATAGAAATTAAAAAATACCCCAACCTGGGGATTCCTTAAATACAAAATGGGATTTAAAAAAAGCAAACCTTCTTTAACAAATACTCCAAAAATTTCGTTCGTGCAGAAAAATATCAATATTTCAACTTTTTTAGTTAAATTCCTTAAAGGAATTTTGAAATCCCGCCAATTAGGAATTTTAAAAAATAGTAAAATTTTACTCCAAAACACTTAAATAATCATAAAATAACCTTATTCTGTAAATTATTGCACTAAATTAGTTTCCTCATAAATTCCCAAAGTCGGGGATTTTATTAATTAATAATAGGAATTTTCAAAAGTCGGATTTTTTTAAACAAAAACTGCTAGAATATTGTTACAAGTAAAAATATTATTATTTGCACACTTTTGCCAAAATTGCTAAATGGAGATTTTTAAATCCACCAATTTGGGAATTTTCAAAATATGTAACATAAATTTCACCCTAAAAACTTGAACTAATCATAAAATAACCGTATTTTGTATGTTTTTAGCTCTAAAATTAGTTTCCCCAGAATTTTCAATAGTAGGGATTTTCTATAAAGAAAATGGGAATTCTGAAATAATATAAAAAAAAGTTTCTCAAATTAATCAAGAGATGGCTTCTGCAGTAAAATATTAATATCTCGACTTTTTTAGTTAAATTCCTAAAAGGGATTTTGAAATCCCCCTAATTAGGAATTCCAAAAAATACAAACATTTTAATCCAAAACACTTAAATAGTCTAAAAATAACCTTATTTTGTAAATTATTACACTTAAATAGTGTCCCCAAAAATTCCCAAAGTCGGGGATTTTATTAATTAACCATAGGAATTCCCAAAAATACAAAAAGTATTTAATAAAAACTGCAAAAGCTTTGTTATAAGTAAAAATATCATTATTTATACACTTTTAGTTAAATTCCCAAATGGAGATTTTTAATCGCCAATTTGGGAATTCCTAAAACTTCAAAAATATGAAAAAAATTAAAAATATTAACTATAACTAATAAATTACCAATAAAACATTGGACCAATAATGAATATAATCTTCACAGGATAGTTTTTGTAAAATTCCCAAATGGGAATTTAGAAATACCCAAATTAGAAATTCACAAAATTTGTTAAAATGTAAGTTAAATCAATTTCAAAATAATTATTTTTTTGTAATGATTAAAAGCAAAAATAATTTCCCCAGAAATTCCCTTATAGGAGATTAAAATTACTATAAAATTTCCTCTTTATTTTCCTTTCTTCCAGACCATTAGTCCCGGTTTAACGGAAACTAATTTCGGTGCTAATAGCCCTAGACCAGAACACTTAAGTAATATGCCCGAATGTGCTGAAATACTAAAACCCGATGATGTGGCCCGTGGTGTGACTTTCATATTGGGCTCCCCACTACATGTTACCATTGCTGAATTGTTAATGGTGCCAACGGCTGAAAAATATTAGTTTAAGAATTGTTGGAGAATTTTGTTTTTAAACAAGTTATTAAATATTTTTTATTTAATTTAATAAAATGAGAGAAAAAACTACACGATTTTAAATATAGTTTTTCAGAATTGAAGGTAATTTTATAATAAAAGCTCAGTGATCGGCAAAATGAGAATTTTAGGCAAAAGACAGCTTTATTAAAAACTTTTGAATGGACTAGACTATAGACTATACAGAATTGACTATAGATAAACTATAGAAATGACTATG